AACAAATAAATAAAATCAAACAAACAGATTTAAAAATTTGGAAAAATAACAATAAAACAAAATAAAATAAAATACAAAAAAATACAATAACAAAGAGATTTCAAAATTAAGAAAAATAAATACAATAAAATAAAACAAAATAACAAATATAGAATTAAACAAATTAGGAAAAATAAATAAAATAAATGAATATATAAAAATAGGAAAATAAATAAAATAAATAACAAATATAGAAAAAAATTTGGAAAAAAAAAAAATTAATGAACAAATTGAAAATTAAAAATCAGGGAAAAAATAAAAATATTAAATAAATTAACAAAAATAACAAAAAAGCAAACAAAAGAAAAAAAAACAAATATAGAATTAAAAAAATTGGAAAAACAAATAATTAAAATAAAATAAAAATAACAAACAAAAATAACAAAAAAATTTAAAAATAGAGAAAAAATAAAGATATTTGAAAAAAATTAGGAAAAAAAATACATAAATTAAATTAAATTAAAAATTTTAATTAAAAAAATCTGTACAGTTCTGCTGCTATTTCAGTTCACTATAGCCTTTGGTATCTGAAATCTGTGTCTGTAGCAAAGGACTATTACACTTTATGTAAATATATTTTGTGTTATAACTAAGCAGAAAATTAAAATTTCACCTAAAAGAAATCACTATAAACTAAAATATAAAATAATTACATGCAAAATATTTAGTCTTGACCTTTAGAAAGGAAAAATAAAGTGTCTGTTGGTAGATTTGCAATTGTGTAGTTGCACTAAATAAGAGACCCATTGCAACAAATGAGGAGAAACGTTTGCTTCCTCAATACAATAACACAATATAAAAACAACAATAAACCGAGAGACAATAGAGGTCAGCGTTAAAGAAAACAAGAATGCAGTTTAATCCCAAACAATGTGCAAAGACACGAGATGCAATGAAACGGAGAAGCATGAATAAGCGGATTTATCAACGTCATTTGGCTCAAAACAGCGGAGCTTCCACTCAAATCAAGTGCAGATGAGGGAAAACATCTGCTGCAGTATTAATGCTGTCCTCAGATACTGCATCCACCAACATCACCACAACACACACGCTAAACATGTACAGTAATGCAACACTATACTCTGTTCACACACGCTGTAGACAATCTCTGTTAATGAACAGTCACTGTGTTGTGTGTTATTTGCAGTTGTGATTTGCATTATGGGATGTTGATCTCTGCTCTGTCCACATCTCTACAGTTCAACAAAGGGACTTTATTTGATATTTAAGTGGTTAAAAATAAAATAAATAATATCTAGAGAAGTAAGTCTGTAAAATAACACACTGGCAATTTATTACAAGGTGTTTGTAGCGTAAAATTGGGCCCCTGGAAATTTGGAGGCCCCTAATAAATACATAGAAGTATAAATTATACCTATAAATTATACATATAGCATATATAATGTACAGTTAGGGTCTGACACAATGTTGAATTTTTCTAAAATTGTAATGTAATTAATTATATTTCTGCAAATTTGTCTCCAACAATTTTTTCCTTTTCATTTTAAGAAAAATAAATGTATAAAAGATATAAAAATAAAAAAAAACTTAAATTAAATGAATTAAATTACACATTAGGAGTGCATGTTAAGACTGTTGAGCCTCATGGCTGGAACTGCTTAGGGCCCCTTAATAACTAAATCCATCCCTGAAAGTAAGCTGGGCAACTGTAATGTTTAATTTTAAGTGTGACAATGATGCTACAAGACACGAGTTCTGTCTTTAGGTAAAGACATGCCTAAAGACATGCGGTACAGGTGAATTGGGTAGGCTAAATAGTAATAATAAAGGGACTAAGCTGACAAGAAAAATGAATGAATGAATGAATAATAAACCCTATTGTAAAGTGTGACCACAATCAGTTCAGGCCTTAAAAAAAACATAAATAAAAAACATTTGGAGGAAAAGGTGGGCCTTGAAGTGAAAAAGGTTGAGAACCCCTAGTCTGGAAACCCCTAGTCTTTTTTTGCAGTGTAATTGCATTCTTTCACTCGAAGACAACCCTATAAAATGACCCTATAAGACAAGAAGCCACACATACGCACACAAAACAAGGCCTGACACTGAAAACATCAACAATTCCTGTTATGAGCAGCACAATTCCTCACAACTTGAACATAACTGGATTGAATCAGTGGACACAAAAACAATGCAAAATAAAAATAAAAAAATAAAAAAATATAAAAATAAATAAACAAACTAATAAATAAATAAATTAATTAATTAATTAATTAATTAATTAATTAATAAATAATTAAATTTATTTAAACACATACATAGAAAATGAAAAATTATATCAAATAAAATAACCCAAAAATTCAATAAAAATATGTGTATAAAAACAACAACAACAACATAAAAACTAGAGACAGTACCTGGCAGGCTGGTGGAGACGTTGACCTGCGTGTAGAAGCGTTTGTTGGGCAGGAGCTCCGACACTCCGTTATGAGCCTCCACACTAAAGGAGTAGTTGGAGTTGGGCAGCAGGTTTACCACCGTAACGGAGCGTTCGGTCAGACCGTTCTGCTGCGGGACGAAGCCCACGCTGGCTCCACACGCCTCACACTGCAGCTGAGCGGCCCTCGGGGGCCCCACGCACCTCCGACACCCCACACTGTACGACAGATCCACCCGTCCACCAGAGTCATTTGGTGCAGCCCATTCCAGAATGAGTGTAGACTGCTTGAGGGTAAATACCAAATCGCGGGGAGGAGAGGGGGGGCCTGTGTGCAAAACACAGAAATAAGGAGTCAAGATGTTGAGGATACATTAATAGTAGATTAATTATTTGGTGTTTACTCTGTTACTAATTAACCTTCTATTATTTTTAAATATACCGGGTCCGCAGAGTTTAACTGGTTAATAAAGTTGCACCGCATACACAATAGAGCACACTGATTGGTTTGAACAGAGTCTTTCTCTTGAATTAATGCTGCCCACACAGAGACGTCACGATGCACTCCCAGGTACAGACATCCACTCTCCACACTGAAATACACGCAAGGATCAATCGGCGTGACGCAGCTTCAAAAATTCGCTTCAAACCGGAAGAACGAATTTGCTTAAAATAACTCAAAAACAACAAATTTCCACTTTCCACAAACAAGACAGTCACAGCTCAACACATGTGTTCTGGTGTTTCGTGACTCTTTAAATCAACAAGCATTTTCAAAAAATATTGTCTTTTTTCAGAAATATAAGACAAGACGTGCTGTATTGAGGAGAAAACGCAATCCACACAAAAGCATATAAAACAAGGCCCGACACTAAAATCTGGTCACAAAAACAATAAATAAATAAATAAATAACTAACTAACTAACTAACTAACTAACTAACTAACTAACTAACTAACTAACTAACTAACTAACTAACTAACTAAATAAATAAATAAATAAAA